CAGGTCGTAAATTTCAATTCTCATCGGAATTCGGTGGGGCGCTTCTGGCGCAGTGGGAGAGACAAAAAAAGGACATACCTTTTATTCTGTGAGATTTTAGATGACGGAGGTGAGAGGTGGATAGTGCTTCATCGGATTTATGGCATTGTGCTTTCCACTGACATAAGAGCTTCTCGTGCTGATAACGTGTTGTAAAATTGACGATGTGTGTACAGTGGAATAAATAAAACAAGACACAAAATTTACGAGGTTCCTCTACAGTCAGTGTGACTGGAGTACGTCCTCGGGTAGCAATGATGCTTTCATTATAATTTGAAATAATAGAAGTACAAAGATAACTCTATGTATTCTCTCCTCTCATCTTCCTCTCTTTCTTTTTTTCTGCTCTCTATTCAAAGCATACGGAGTGCTCTATTTATAGAGCAACTCCAAGCACACATCTTTGACAATATAATCTTTTCCCAAGTCAAGATTAATTTTATGGGCATTGAAAATCCACCCAATCTCTGCAGTTTCTATGTGGGCATTCAATACCCACTAGACTTTTCAACAAATTTCTTGTTTATTTGATTGTTTTAAGTTCCCAAAAAATCGCGGCAAATTGCTCTTCTCCCCATGACAAATGATGCTCGAAAGTCAGACAAATATGAAATTGTATAATTTAAAAGTTAAATCAACTGTGACCTCCGTACATGTCTACTCTGTTTTTACTTTCAATTCTCACGTGCTTTCCCCTCGTCTCTTCCCCAACTTCTGTTTACCCATGTGAAAATTATTGGACATAAGTCGGAATAATTAACAAAGAAGTTTTTTTTCTTTTTTTTTTTTTCAATGACAAAGAAGGTTTGAAGCCGTTCTTTTATTCACAGAACAATTAGGAGAAATAATTCTTAATTACAGAGGTTTTGTTTTCTTTTCATGTCTCTACTGCTTTAGTTGTTTGTTTAAATTTAGTACAAAACAACAGCTAACCACAGGGACTTAATACATATCAAAGTCAAATAACCATAGCAAAGACTTGTCTTTTTCTCTTATCTTAAATAAAGGAAAGTGCTATTTACACGTTTATTTTTACATTTTACACTACTTTTGTTAATTTTTTGCAATTAATTTTTTTCAATTCTTTCGATCCAACAGTCAAAAATTGAAATGAAAAAGTAAAAGTAGGTGTTCAAATAACACTATCCTAGATAAAAATTCAAATGTGTTTAAAAATACATAGGCAAAGAGTAAAAACAATACATGTATTAAACGTAAGATATACGTAATAATACATGTATTATACGCGAATCTGCTATCCCAATTATTGTTTGATTCGTGTGGCAATCCTGACTCCTGAGTGCAATCATACAACAGGAAAGATGACCAATGTATGGCTGTAATACAAGTCAAGTTGAACAAATGTCCTCTACCCCACCACTTTATTATTTGTTGGTTGTCACATCCATCTGAGCAACATCTCTAACTCAAGTAGTGGTGGGAAGAACAAATGTGATACCACAACCTTCGATCCTGCACTTTCTCAGTTCAGATCTCTTGGTTTTCTCTGTTTCCACTGCTAACCGAAAGATGGCCGAGGCACTCATTTCCATGCTTCTCGAACAACTGGCTTCGATAACTTACCAGCACGCCAAGGAAGAGGTGAGCCTGGTTTTGGATGCGGAGAAAGATGTTGCAAAATTCGCTGGCAACCTTGAAACGATTCGTGCTGTGCTTGAGGATGCGGAGCAGAGGCAGATAAAGGAGGCCAGCGTCAGAAATTGGCTGGAGAAGCTGAAAGATGTATCGTACAAGATGGACAATGTGCTGGATGAGTGGAACACTGAAATACTGAAACAACAAGTCGAGAAGCAAGAAGAGCACGGTGGAAGTACTTCTCTTGTTACTGAGAAGAAGAAGAAAGCGGTATGTTTCTCTATTCCCTCCTCTTGCTTTTGTTTTGGCCAGGTCAGTCGGGCACATTATCATCATGAAATTGCTCATAAGATCAAAAGTCTGAATGCAAAGTTAGATGAGATTGCTAAGCAAAGAGAAACATATAACTTTCGGCCCTCAGAGAGAATGATCATTAAACAACCTAAGCGAGACGAAACTACTTCTTTTGTTGAAGCATCTGAGATATTTGGTAGAGAACAACAAAAGGAGGTTTTGGTTAGCAAGTTGTTGAACGAGAGTAGTCAAGAAGAGAGTGGTCTCCTTGTCATCCCTATTGTTGGGATGGCAGGAATGGGCAAGACAGCTCTGGCCCAATTGGGTTTTAACGATGAGAAGGTTAAAGCTTGTTTTGATATCAAAGTATGGGTTTGTGTTTCGGACCCTTTTGATGAGATCAAAACTGCCAAAGCCATCATTTCTCGTGCCAAAGGTGTCAGCCCAAATTCAGATACTTTGGAAGATTTATTTCAGTGTATGTCTGAATCCTTTAAAGGAAAAAAGTTTCTCCTTGTCCTAGACGATGTGTGGACTGAAGACCAAAGAAAGTGGGAGAAATTGAAGTTGCCATTAAAACAAAGTGGTGTCCGTGGCAGTAGAATATTGGTAACCACTCGAAAACAGGATGTTGTTCATATGATAGGAGCTCTCACACAACAGATCGATTTGGAGAGGTTAAGCGAACCAGATTGTTTGTCAATATTCAACTGCATGGCATTTTTTAGTAGAGATAAGGATTGTGAGTTGGAAGCCATTGGTAAAGAAATTGCAAAAAAATGCAAGGGTTTGCCTCTTGCTGCAAAGACTCTGGGTTGTCTCATGCGTTACAAGAAAACGAGGAAAGAATGGCAGGAAGTTTTGGACAGTAATATATGGGAGCTAGAAAAGTTTGAGCAACAAGTTTTCCAACCATTATTACTGAGTTATCTTGATTTGGCACCTGCGGTCAAACGATGCCTTTTATATTGTGTTATTTTTCCAAAAGATCATTTGATAGATAAAGATTATTTGATTGAGTTGTGGATGTCACAAAATTATCTCTATTCAAAAGAAAAAATAGAGAAGAAAATAATTGGCCAAGGGTGTTTTGATAATTTAGTAATGCGATCTTTCTTCCAAGACTTTGAAAAAGGCAGTGATGGAAATATTTGGAGGTGTAAAATGCATGATATTGTGCACGACTTTCTGCAGTTTCTTACTCAAAATGAATGCTTTACAATGGAGGTTAAGGATGGTAACGATACAATAGAGTCCTTGGGTGATAAGATTTGTCATTTGACCCTATTGTTTGCTCCTGAGGGTCCATTTCCACGTGTTTCATTTTCCAGCTGCAAAACTAATATGCGTACTCTTGCAACTTTTTGTTCAAAATTCACCGTTGTGGACTCAACTTTGATGTCACAGCTGAAACATCTTAGGACATTGAATTTGAGTGATAATTCTATTGAAGAGCTTCCAGAAGAGATAGGTGAATTGGTGCATCTGAGGTTCATTGATTTGTCTGAAAATGATGGTTTGAAAAAGCTACCGAATGGGGTGTGTAATTTATACAATTTGCAGACATTGCGCCTTGAAAGATGTGGGAAACTTGAAAGTCTACCTCAAGGCATGGGAAAGTTGATTAACTTAAAGCATCTTTATGTTTGGGGTTGCCGTCAACTGAAGTACTTGCCGAAAGGGATTGGGAGATTAACAAATCTAAGAAGACTAGATCGGTGCCCTGTTGGCGGTGGTAAAGACGACGATGAAGCGTTCAAATTGGGAGATTTGAGAAGCTTAGACCAACTTTGTGAACTCACCATAGAAATTGATGGGGAAGTGAAAGTTGATGCGGATAAGGGTGAGAAAGCATCACCCTAAGGAACAAACAACAACTCTTAAAATTGAGTATATCTCTTTGTGGTTGTGGAAGAAGTGCAGAAACATTGAATTTCTTACGACCGCATCCAAATTTGGAATCTTTATATATTACAGGGCATAATGAAAGCACTGCCCCCAATTGGATCATGTCATTAAACAATTTGAGATTTGTTGGGCTTAATGAATGGAACGAATGTGAAGTTTTACCTCCTTTGGGAAAATTGCCGCTCCTCGAAAGACTAATGCTTTGGAATATGAAAGGAGTAAAAAGGGTTGGAGTTGAGTTTCTGGGAATAGAAAAGGAAACGTCATCAGCATCATCATGCATTACTCTATTCCCAAAATTGAAAACACTCACATTTGGGTTCATGAAGGCGTGGGAAGAGTGGAAGGAAGAGGATTCTCATATTACCATAATGCCATGCCTTTCTTCTTTAGAGTTCCATAACTGCCCTCGGCTAAAAACGCTGCCAGGCTTCTTGCGGAAAACACCACTTCAGACACTTGACATCAAGTTATGTGGTAATCTTGCACGAGTTTGCCGAAAAGGCAAAGGAAAGGAGTGGTCCAAGATTTCTCACATCCCCAACATCACAATCAAATATCCATCTTATTCTGATTCTGAATATGAGGGTGAAGGCATAGTCGAAGCAGAGGATGATGTTTAGTTGCACGAGAGGCCTTCCACTTCGGGTAAGTAAGCTCTTTTCTATTTCTTTACCAACTCACTCTATTCATTTTACATCAATCTGCTAATATCAGGGTTGAGCTTTCATTATACTTGCCAAATGACAAGATCCCATGTTGCAACTAGACAAGTTATTATATATAAGGTTGTAAGGGACTTGTAACTCGGTTTAAGACCATATTCCAAGTCCCGAGTTCAATTTTCCCGATTTGCAATACTCTAGTTTTATTTTATTTTTATAATCTCCAGAAACTATATGCAAGAAAGTAACAATTTATAATGTTGCAAGGGTAAAAAGACCATATTCCAGGTCCCCAGGTCGATTCCTCCTCTCCCAATATCGTGATTTGCAATGCTCTAGTTTTATTTTATTTTTAAAATCTCTGGATTTGAGACTATAAGCAACTTTAAACCGAAAATTATATGCAAGAAAGTAACAGTTTATGGTCACAAAATTTTGCAGACCTCCAGTTATGTGATTTAGCTACTAGCAGTTAGAAGGTGTACAAACAATGCTACCTGAAATAAACCGAAACCACTACATTGGAGCTGAGTTTGGGCGGGTGCAAAATCATCAAAAAGGAAGAGTGCAGAAACAGGTAATCTCAAAATTAATTGGGGTGTTTAGTTTATGCATGCATGTTTCGTTGATCTTTTGAAAGGGAGAGAAGCCTGCATGCATTAGTAGAACCGGTGGTTGGCTGCTGCATTACAAATTTCAGCAGAATGGTCATTTCCTTTGCTTTCGGGGAGAATGAAGATCGTCTGGACATAATGCAAAGTGATCCAAACTTGTATGAGGTCTTCAATTGAAGTCAGAACAATATTTCTCAGAAAAGTGTTGTCGAACGACTAGAATATTATTCACTGGACCTGCAGAGTACAGTGCAAATTTTATGTAAATACTAAACAAATTAGTAAAGTTTGGCAGATTAAACGCAAACAACTGAGATATTTGAATATAAATTGTATTATGAAATAGTGCTAATCAAATACAGCTAAATTTGCATAAACCCAGGGAAGGAAATAATTCAAATAGAATTGAGATAACCTTTTGCATTTTTGAACACGCGAAGAATATTATGAGTTCTAGCATCCCAAACTCGAACACGCCATCTTCTAATCTAGAAATCAAATAATTTCCAGAAATGCCATATGCTAAGCAAGTAAAAACTTTGCTGTTCAAAAGTCAAACGTACAAAGTTCAAGTTAAATGAGTTTTGCTCAATCAAAATATACTAAAATGAATGTTCCTCGATTCAGTTCGCTAGAATGCAAGGCCTGTCATAACTAAAGGTAGAATGCAGTGTTCCTAAAACGTGCAACAATCTTTGGCAATTATACTTTGAAAAATGAAAAATACACAGTTAAAAATTAGAGAAGTGTTAACTGAAGAAAACTCAAAGGTTGCCTATAGGAAAAGAGAGAAACGTGTGATTCAAGAAACAATCGATGATATGCAACCCATACTTGCTGTTAAGCAGGCTCTCAGCATTAAGTGCAGCAACATATATCTTGCAATTTCTACCACTGGCAAAGAAGACATTTTCACCAGTATCCAGTGCAATCGCATCAATTATAGTAGGAAAACAATATTTCTCAATAATCTCCCACTTCCTACGCTCCAAACCTAAAAAAATTTACATCCAAATCAAAATTACAAAACACATGCAATTTCAAGAATACATTTCTTTTTTGTTTATTGGGGAGGAATACGAATGCATCAGTACATAATAGGCAAAAGACATGCAATAGATATTGAGGGACTTACAAGGAGTACATGCTACGAAAAACCAAGAAGATAAATCTGAGCATTTAAGAAAGTAAAAGATCAACAAGTCAAGACAAACAATCCACACGTGAATGGTAAATTCATGAATCATTTTCTCTTACACGTGTGATCCTGGGATGCTGACATGCTAATGGCTTTGCATCCACCATATCCTGCGCCAACATCTGTTACACAGAGAGTGTGCTCCGTAAAGTTATGCATGTACAGATGTAACCGTTTTCAGTGCATACTTAAAAATAATATAAAGATACAGAAATATACGATAAGAAATGGTTACCCTATAAAGAGACCAAACTCTAATGCCTCCATCCTCCGACCCCGAAATCAGCAGGGAGCCATCATCCAAAATTACCAAGCAACTAACACCTCTGTTGTGAGCATGCCATTTTCAGTCTACCAGTATTAACCTAAATAAATACAAAAAAAAAAAAAAAATGCTCATTAGCATTTCAGAGCTTAAAAAAAGATAAATTCAAAGAGATAAAGAAAAATTATTAGGAAAATTAAGCTCCCACAAGTAGATATTCCCCGACGAGCCTCCGCCAACAATGTACGTGCCTTCGCTGTTTGCAGCAAGCAGAGTGATTGGTTCTTCTGGGAAGCCATTGACATCAACTTGCGGCTGCACAAAATTCCCAAATTCAATTAAAATGCAAGCTTTATCAATTGAACCAATTCATCAAACATGTTGTGTGCATAAGAAAGTATCGATCGATTGGACTGGATTGGATTGGATTGGTGAACTGGGGTTTCTCACTAGGGTTTTATGGAGCGTTTTGGAATCTCAGACAGAGTAACGGACACATAAACGTTGATGGTGCTGCTCTCTGAGATTTTTGCTAGGGTTTTTGAATGGCGCGTGGCCAGACACAGAAGGCAGGGAAGGTTCTCAAAACGGGGCCGTCGGCAATTGTTTGAAAGTTTCCAATTTCTGTCCCAATTGTGGATTAATTTTGTATATATTTTCATTGTTCACATTTTCACATATGTTATAACAGAAAAATGGTTTTAATTGTTGTTCATTGTTGATTGATTTCCGACATTTTTCACTGAGATCTCTTGTGGTTTTTTGTTTTTAATTCGACCAGGGTGATTTGAATTTTACAAATTTAATCAGCACTCTCCTTTGTAATGGACGGGGCAGAATAAGGGGTTATTGCGAGGCGGATGTCATCTTTATTCTTTTTTTTGTCAAAGGATTCACCTATATTCTCATTCCTGCTCAAAAATGACACAAACTTATCATCTCTACCTTATTGGATAACAGTTAGCAATTATGTTATTTTTAATTTTTTTTATTAATATTTGATCCACGCAGCGTTCATGCGATTTTAATTATGCAAAAACAGAATCTCAAGTGAGCCACGTTATTATTAAACAATACCACTAAAGGACACGTCATAATTTGCTAAGATTAACATGATGGCTAAAAAGATTGAAGGCCTGGGCAGAGTCAAATTGGATAAATAAATGTGTTCTCCCTATACATCCAAGTTTAAACTTTGATTTTCGTTGTTTGAATTAATTTAATGTGAAATATCGCTTATATAAGATAGACATTAAACAAGAGGAGTTATATGAAGCAAACTTCAAGGTGGTAAATTGTAATTGCCCCATAATGTATTTGCATTTTTAAGTAATGAGAGATAATTTCACACTAGGTCTTATACACACTATCAAACTGAATAACAATTTGAAACAACGGCCATGATTAAGTGAGATGTTAAAAGATGCGTTTTTATCATTTCCATTTTCCAGGGCAATTCGTAGAGGTATTGTGCTCAAATACTGAGATTCGAATCTTTTCGAATCAAAGCATATGTTTGTCTTTGATGGCTGATGCGTATCGAGTTTCATTTAGGCCCAAACGGACTTCTCTTTTCAGTTGAACGAAATGGGCTTCATGTTTCAGCAAGCATCGCAAAGTGTTCCAATATCAAGCACAGATGCAAAGAGCTCCAGACTTGTTTGAGGTCTTCAGTTGAAGTCAGAACCAAGAATTCAACACAAATGGTGACCTTAATTCAACTTCCTGTATCCCAGAAGTAGATATGTACGTGAGCAGATCTATATGTGACAGAGCCATGCTAACAGATAATTAAGAAATAAATTCACATTCGACGGCAACCAGTCGTGTACCATTGACTGAGCTACAATTTTGCTTAATTGGAGCGACGATGCTTAGAATTTCGGTTGCTCTAGGCTAAGTATCTCCACATTTTTTGTGTAGATTAACATTGCTCGTCGTCGCGTGTAGCTCAAATCTCGCAGATGCTTACCCACCACTACACGTGCATTTACAACCAAATATGCCGATGAACAAGCAAGACCAGAAATTAGAAATAGGCCAGAGAAAGGACCAGGACCTATTCCTATTGCATCAGCATTCAAGTTGTTTAAAGCAGTACAGTTAGTTGAAGCAGATATCTTCTATTTTCGTTGTTCGAATTAATTTAATGTAAAGATATCAAAAACATAAACTCGATAATCTAGCAGACAACGAGAAAAGCATGACTTGCTCAGTTACCTCTAGCATTACTATCCTTTCAAAAGGATTTTTACACAAATGATCTGTAAATATGGTTCATGTAACAATATGCATAAACAAATTAAACATGACTATACGATGTTTAAGGAAGGGAGGGGAAAAACCAGCGAAACTGCCGAAACAAGGCTGGTTCGTAAGTGTAAGCAAATTGCGCATGATCATGAATTTCTCATGGAATATTTCTTTGTTTGCATTGTAGTACAGCTTTAAATTTTGTAGTCTGCTTTGCCAGTGAAATGATTCTCAGAGAAAACAGCGAAACTAAGCACGGAGTAGAGAACTAAACAGTACTGAATTGGAGGAAAATAGACTTACAGAGTCAAGCCAGTGTTCTAGTTAGACAGCCTACACACAAAAAGTTTGACATAAAATTTCAAGTTTTGCATAAAAGTTTGGAGTTTTACTCAGAATGTGGAACTGTAAGAGCGATGGAGAATGATTTTTCGGAGATGAGTGGGGATTATTGGCCTTGTGATCGCTGTACTTATGTCAGTGACTCTTCTGCCACCGCGTGCATGATCTGTGCAAAGTAGAAGTCTCCGTCTCCAATGCCAGCCGAGTGTGAATCCAACAAGAGACAGAACTCTCCGGTCCATGATGCCAAGTCTGAATCCAAATCCAATAAGCAGAGGAAGTTGCTGGTACAAAGCTTTGTTGGATTATTCCAATTGATTTAACGGAATCAGAAAATTTACAATTTTTCAGAGAAGAATTAAGTTTTGCAACATATATGCCAATTCAGTGATGAGAATCTGAACTATCTTGTTGTAGTGTTGAGAATCAGAGCTTTGTATTCGTACTGTCAATCGCTTATTAATTCATGATTTTAGGTTTCTAGCCTCAAAAAAGAAAAAGAACAGTAGTTGTAGCATATATACGATGAACACAATTTTTGTTATGTGCAAATATGCGATGTATCTAAATATGTTCTAAGGCGTTGCTGTACATGGTTGTTATGGTACACATACATTTTTGTAGAATGCCATCTTCTACTTGGTAGCTTCAGGCTCTCTGTCGCACACGCTCCTTAATTAGACTACTCGTGGCAGGTAAATCTATTTATTATTAGGAAATTAGGCTCCCACTAGATGACATTACTTTAATTGAAACCTTGTATTTTTCAACTTTTGATCAAACTTTGACTTTTTTTGTATCAGTATTTTAATCGCCAACTTAACACTTTATATTATTTTTTTTTTGTAAATAAGTATTGAATAATGTAATCGAGTGTTAAACTCCTTTTTTTCTGACAACTAAGTAATTATCATCCTTTTTAATCAATTAAATTCTTAAATGCATTGGTTATATTTTCTAAGGAAGTTTAGGAAAACATCAATAAAATTTTTACTATTTAGTCATATATCAATAACATTTTTTGTTTTGAACTTAATCAATTGATATATTTTAATTAAGGGTAAATATCAGTTTACTACCCTCAAGTTTTGTAGTTTTCAACATTTGGTACATGAAGTTTTTTTCATCCCAGACTCATACCTAAAGTGTTAATTTTGGAACAGTTTCATACATCCGTTAGTTTGACTATTAAATCAGCCATTAACTGTTGACGTATGGCTCACGTGGACAATGATTGAGCGTCACATGTCAATTTGGGTCCACATGGATATTAAAAAATTACAAAAAAAACTAAAACAAAAATTTAAAATTTAAAAAATTAAAAACCGAGCCTAACCTAAAAAATTTAAAATTGCCCTTTGGCCGTCGCCCTCTACTTCGCACAATTTCCAAACCCAGCTACCAACCTTTCGACCATATCAATCGACCCGAACGAGCTGACCGGAATCTGATTGAAGGAAAACAGTTTGTGCACAATCTCTTCATCTCCGACAATAGTGGCGCAAGCAGAAGCTCCTCTTTACACTTATTCCGACTCTCGGCAAACCCATTAGTGGAATCTTCAAGCTCTCTGAGAGTGTACCAATGTCCTCATCCCAAATGTGAAACCTCCAGCGCAGCGATCATCCCCTGGTCCCCAGACCGAGCCTCCTCGCTGCTATGTGACAACCCACCGCCGTTGCCCTTCTCCGGGTACGAAATCTGGAGGTTCTTTCCAATCTCAATGTGAATTCTGTGTCGGCCACCGCTCCCAGCCGGGCTGTTATGGTGATCGTCCTGCTTGAGAAGCAGGGGCTGGGCTCTGGCAAAGTCCAAGTCAGCAACCGGGTTAGGATGGCTCTAGTGGTTGATGGGTTTCGGGTCGGCCTATGATGGGTTGTTCCGTAAGTCGTCAATTCAAATTTGTTAGATCTCTTTGGAGACGTTTGGGATGGTGGAAGAGTTGTGTGTAAAGGTCTTGGCTTTCGAGGAGTTGCTGCTGTTGCAGCGGGAAATGAACCAGAGCGAGATGACGAAGAGGACGAGAACAATGGCGGCTCCGACACAAATTCCCAAAATAACCCACAAATGCAAATCGAAAATGGAGGTCCTTTTCAATGAGCGAAGCAAAGAGTTTTCTAAAGGATGATGGCTTACCCGGTTTTGGTAGCTTAGGTAGTGGCTTGGGTGGTCTCAGTGGACTGGGAGGAACAAGTGGGTTGGGTTAGGCCGTGCAGCTAATGGATTTCTATGTTGGATGGAGAAGAAGAAACAAAGAGAAGAAGAAGGTTGGGTGCAAAGGCGGCGGCAACTTTAAATTTTTTAGGTTTAGTTTGGTTTTTAGTTTTTTAAATTTTAAATTTTTGTTTTAGTTTTTTTTTTTAATTTTTTAATATCCACGTGGACCCAAATTGACACGTGGCGCTCAATTATTGTCCATGTGGGCACCACGTTACCAGTTAACGGCTGATTTAACAATCAGACTAACGGATATATGAGACTATCCCAAAATTAACCCTTTAGGTATGACTCTGGGACGAAAAAAACTTTAAGTACCAAATGTTGAAAATCACGAAACTTGAGGGTAGTAAACTGATATTGACCCTTTAATTAATTAGGCATAGGTGAATTCCAATTGTGCTAAAATCATTATACAAAGTGAGAATTTGACTCTTATATCCTTCTCTTTTTCTCTCTGATGCCCCATAAGCTTTAAGCTAGTGTAAATAATTAGAACTTGACTCTTATATCATTCTCTTTCATGCCCTTGGATAACATAGAATGAAATTAAGAAAAAGTCTTCTTATGGTTTTTAAAACACGTTGATTCGATGAATAAACATGTTACAAAAGATTAATTTCCATCCAAGCCATCTCTGAGAGGAGAGCTGGTCTAGTTAAGTATATGAGTTTGCCAAGAGAAATACAATGAGATGAGAAAGTACATAGTTTAATGGTTTGCAATTCAGCAATGTCTAAATGCAAATGTAAAATAGAGAACTAGAAAACGAACATTGCATTGCAGTGTCTGAATTCAAATGTAAAAATCAGAAGTCGCATGAGGTGTGAAGTGTAAAAGGCATATGAGTGATGGAACAAAAAACTAAACCAGAAAATGGAAACTTCAACATTGTGTCTGAATCCAAAAGTAAAAAATAGAACCATGAAACATACACTGCATTAATGCAGTGTCTGAATCCAAA